AGTCAGAGCACACCTCGCTTTTTCAGACCGATGAGTTTTGTAAAAATCGACGCGTTTCAGAAAGGCAGGGCATAGAGGAGAAACAATAATGTACAGTATGTGGAAAATAATGTGTTTTTTTAACCTTAAACCGCATAAACACATTTCATTACACCAAATACACAAAATACTGTTCTTTTTAGCAGCATCATATGACCCCTTTAAGTCTTTAAAGTTCTTTGTTACTGCTACTGTCGTACTTTTTGAGAGCTTCAGTGCCATCAAACTGTAGTTTTCGTATAGGATGACATGTCTCGATTAATTGGGTTACCTCACTGGTCATCTGTGCCTGGAGGAGAAAGGTACAGATAGAGTTTACACTGTTCATTAATCAAACTCCAGCAACAGAACCGCCCCTGGAAATTTGAGGCCACAGATGACTCAGACCAATAATAAAAATGAAGTCAGAGTCAACAGCAACATGTCACTGGGAGATAAGACCTTGGTAATAGCTTCTCAGCAATAGATTCGAAACAGCTCAGCTCATGCGAGCCAGAAAGTTACAAACATTTCACTACTGTTCCTGGCCATGCCGGAGATTGCAGAGCAGTGAGCCTGAACAAGCATTTCCTGTTGCATGGTCACTTAGCTTCCCAGAGATTTCCATCACAATTTTCCAAGGAAAGATAAAGAGCACAAAAGTAAATGTGCGCATGTATGTGTCTTATTGACAGTATGACAGCTATTCTACTGAACCAGTTTACCCTAAACATTTCTTTTAAATGTGATGTTGGAAATTTTTATGTATTCTAAAAACTGGTTCATCTGAAATATTCGTCTCTTACATATAGCATTGTGAAATTTGATTCCTTTGAGTGAATTGTATAAACATTCTCTCTCATATGCAAAAGGGAAAAGTCTGATTCATTCTATTAAACTGACACATCTCAAACAATTCTCTTTCACATGTAGCACTGGAAAATTTGATTCATTTGAGTAAATCGCTTCATAAACATTCTATAAAATATGCAAGAGTGTAAAGTCTGATTTATTCTAGTAAAGTGATTCATCAAACATTCTGCTCTCAGATGTAGTATTGGAAAAATTGACTCATTTGATTGAATCGTTTCATACAAATAATTTCTAATACGCAAGTGGTAAGTCTGATTCATTCTACTAAACTGATTCATCTCAAACATTCCTCTCTCACAGGTAACACTGGAAAATCTGATTCAGTCTGGATCCAGAACACCCGAGAAGAGATGTTGCCAACCCCTCAGAGGACCTCAGATGATGCCAACCCTGAAACAACATACAGAACTACCACATTTTGCTATAAGTTTGATTGCATCATATAATAATTGCTGTTAATATGTTCATCGTCTGTTTGATTATGTCTTTAATTGATTTTTCCGTACATTTCTGCCATATGTACATTAACTGACAGTCACCCACTGATAAGCTACTACTAAATATATTGTAGAAACTTAATTTTCTGTAAAGTTGCTTTGCAACGATTTGTATCGTGAAAAGCGCTATACAAATAAACTTGAATTAAATTGAATGAATCGTTTCATAAATATTCTCTCTCATATGCCTGTCACGTGTATGTTCTGTGTTTCTGTTCTCCCTGCCTTGTCCTAGTTTTCCTTTGTTGCTTGATTAGTTAATTAGTTTCCACCTGCGTTCATTTATTATCTTATTAGTCGATCGTTTGGTCAGTATAAATAGCCCTGCCTTTCCTAAGTTTCTTTGTCCTGTCTCCGTTGTTGAAAGTGGTTGTTTTCTACATTTCTCCCCAGTGGATTTATTAAAAGACTCTGTTTGTTGTATATCTGCCTCCTGCGTTCTCCTTCGAACTCCTTCGCCTGGCAACCCCTGACAATGCCAGTGTGGAAAGTCCGATGCATTCTAGTGAACTGGTTAATTTGGAAAGTTCATATAAACATTATAATACACATTTCTTTTTTATTGGATTTAGTGTAAATTTATCTGTTCAAGTTTAATGCAGTTCTTCCAAAACTGCTCTGATTAAAATAAAAATAATATTACCAGATAGATTTAAAAATAGTGCAGCCTTAAGTAGCTTAAATTTAGCTTTAAATTTAGTTTCAAAAGATTTTTGTTTGTTTGTTTGCTTTTTTGCAAAAGACCATCTTGACTACAGTTAGCTACCTTAACAAATGACAGTTTCAAAGCAGCTTTCCCAATCCTGGAGACCAGAGCATCGTTTTTCCCTGCTCTGGGTGTTTACATCCCTGTGCTTTTGAAATGGAAAGTGACAGTTTTCTAATGCAGCCATTATGAACGGCGAAAGCACATGGCTTAAAATGCCTCTGTCAGATTAGACTTGTTGGGGTGAGACACCAATCTGCATCTCCTCAGAGATGGGTGCAGATTAACTGGTACAACCCCCCCCCCCCCCCC